GAAAATGACTTCACGAAATTATTTCTGAATCCCATTCAAACGACCCTTTTTCATACGTACAATTGGGGACACACTTTTCCCCATATCCTACTCCATAGAAATATTTGTCATGGCAGTCAACCCAATTTTAAGTTCTTCTCAAAACTCGAATTGAGCAAAATTAAGTGAAAAAACTAATATTACTGTAATGGATTTTTTTGCGTGCAATCTTCGGTGACCAGGCTGAGACGATAAGCTCACAACACTTGAGACCCCAATATTACTCAGGATCTTAGCAGTGCGGCTCAGTGCTCTTATCAATAAGCTATCCCCAACACATCCTGCAACTCTCCTAAGTTTTACAAAAAACACAGTCGCTGCCCGCGCTGTGCAAAAAACTGCGCAAATTCGAGCCACCATCGACGGGTCCTCGATATCGAGCCACTTTCAAGTTTGTGCTCTCCACCTCTCAAGCACAGGAGCCTGGCAGCGAGGTCAACAGCCTTTTAATGAAGTGTTGATGCAGCCTCCTCGTAACGGTTTCTCAAAAGAGTCACTATTAAAAAAATCGACCATTGGAAATTCAGTCAGTGTAAGCGAGTGGGTGGAAGAGCACAGAGCGCCAGCAAGGATGCCTCCTTTATCTAATTTCATTCATATGGCCTGTAGCAGATATCCAGATCTTTCTTCACACTTACTGGTGCATATGTACCATGTGCTTTTAGCCTTGGAACTACTTTAAGATAATTCCTTCCTTATAAATTGAACTAATTGTGCATTTATAAAAAAAAAACTGTAATGTTTCAGATGATGAATTTTTTTAGGCTTTCAAAAAAATGTTCTCGTCAATTAATAGGTCATCAACAATCAGACCTAGGATCAATGATAACCATAGTTATAACAACATTGTTCCATGAATTACAATTTTTATTGGAGCCCAGGTTTATCGGCAGTGACATGTTTTATGAAAATAACTCTCAGAGCAGACACTCAACCAAATCTATAAATATGCGTATAAACAATAATAATGCAATTTCTAACGTGCACATAATTATGCGGATATAACTGCCCATGGCTCTGAGGCATGGAACCAAGCTGAGTGTCACGTGAAAGCCTGGCAAAAAATATGGGGCCTTTAAGTGTCTTGTAAAATTCGGTATAAATTTAATACTGCGAATGTGGAACGGTACAGTGTTCCAGACGGATGGAAGTGCCATGAAAAAACGGCGCCTAACAGTCCTGGTCCTTGATACATTGAGGAGGTTGTGTCTCATGTTGCGGAGCGTTCTGAATAAACACTGTACAGTAGTTGTTTTTCAGACTCATAGAATTTCTCTGAGACGTATTAAAAAACAAGCTTCATAATGCTGGTCCACAACAAGCCTCTCTCCAGTTCTCATATCCTTTTTTTATGCAAAGAAGAGCAAGGCCTACAAAAGGGGGAAGTGCCCCTGACAGAGAGGGCCCAAACGCAACAGGCATCTGCCGCGTTCATCCTCAACAGCTTTCTCCACGAATCCCCGAGGAATATTGTACAATGCCTGGAAAGAGGCTCTGTACAGGCCACACAGATTTAAGCCAAAGCCAGAACAAAATCACCAGCCACCTTTCTAATTCACAGAAACAAAAACAGCTCATTCAAAATATGCCGACAGTACCAGTCAACCCGATTATATTCAAGTAAAAACCAAAACAGTGCATGTTTTGTGTATTATATATATACTCTTACGTTTGATGGAATCCAAAACTATTATTTTGCTAGGTTAAACATCATCTCACAAAAAAACAGAGACAAGCGGTTGAAAGCAGTGGAAAGCTAAAAGCACCCAGGAGAGAGGAGAATTAAGAATTTAACATCAGCAACTCTTGACACCAGGGTCCCCCCCCCCCACCTCACACCCAGGGGTGGGAGCACACACATTCCCGTCATGCTCCAAACCTTTGCCTGACCCCACAATTAGAGCAGTGGTCTGTACGTATGTGTGTTGGACTTCATTCGCATCGTACGTAGCCAAGCGTCCGGTGAGAAAAGAAGTTCAACACACATTGTCTGCCCAAGAGCCAGAACAGCAGACAGCAGCAGCAACACATCACGTCCCGTGACTGCTCGCTGTGTTCTGCGAGGAACAGCGCCGACAGAAGATTTTTATCTGTGTGCACAATCAGCACGGCACTGTCTTCAACAATGCGTTCTAATTTGATTCTCTTCGTGTTTTGTTCCCAGAAAAAAAACAACGTTCAAGATCTTTTGAAACCAATTGCCTTTTATTTAAGGAATGCATCTCTTTGCAACATCACGGCTACTGTTCGTAGTAACCTTCCTTCTAAGTTATCCAAATAAATAAATAAACGTACACAAAGCCTTGTACAAGATAATAATTTGCGCCAAGAGATGTTTTAAAAACAAAAGGTCAAGCCCCAAAACTTTTTTTTTAACAGCGTCACCGCTTGAGATTTCCTCAGCCGGCGTTTTGTTATCATCGCCTGTTCTCAATGCCGAATGCCACAAGGTTTGGCTGTCAACACATGCCTCTGGACTCCTGTTTAATTATAGAACAGCAGCGGGCACACACACACACAAGCCCACGGGAATATGACAGGGGTCCGACTAGCCTTGAGAAGCCCTCTGTGGGTCCACTCAGCGGCCTGCAGAAATCTTCAAAAGACTCAATCCAGCCCAGCGAATCCTTTAACACCGACCCCCATAGTCCTCTCAACCCCCACCACCACGCCAACTCTCACCTCATTCCCTGAGTTCCCCAGTCTCCCCCCCCCCCCCACCTCTCCTCTACTATCACCGTGAACCCACACCCACACCCCCTACTGCCCCCCTTGCTCCAGGCCTCAAAACATTCTCGCCCACAGCCGTCGCTCACTCCCCCGCACGCCCCATCGCAGCTCCCACCCAACCACTGCAATTTGTTCCCCTTTGTGCGGGGCCGGGGGGGGCTGGCAGCCAGGAGCGGGCGGCAGGAGACGACGGGATTGTGTGGCACGCCGCGGCGTGACCAATGCACGCCAATTGGCCCCGTGCGCCGCGAGGAGGGCACGCTCTCATTATTCCCATTCGCGTACTGCATACAAGGAATGGAACTCTTTTCTTGAATGACAGTTTTTGGGTTCTAAATAAAAAAAAATTGGTCGAGATTTTTCTGTAGAGGTTTGGGGAGGGAGGGAGGGATGGATGGAGGGAGGGGTCCATTTTTTAAAAAGGCATCCTTTTGAAAGAAATAATGTGCAACTAATTCTGCTTCCTTTCCGTGGCTTCGGCTTATTGCTGGCAGCTGCGTGCATTCCATTTTTTTTTAAGTCAGACCAATTCAATTTAGCATTCATGTACAATATTGTTTTTACGATGCTTAGAAAATCCATAAGCACACGAAAAAATCAAACATTTAACTTATTATTAAGGAAAGTTTCGCCAAATATATGATCCAGATTTGAAGCTTTCGTGACTGCAAGGATTCATACTCTTAGTTATTTCGGTAAAGTCACGTAAGTAAAAAATGAAATTAAAATTAATAAAATAAAACAATGAAATCACGACGTTTCGGAGGCAACACAAGTCTCCGTCATCAGGTGGGACCGTCACAGCCAGATTTGCTGCATCAAGTGAGACCGGGATTCAAGATGCAAGCTCTTAAATACAAGTTAAGGGGGGAGGAGAGGGGGGGAGGAGCTTATCAGAATGTGGTAGCCAATGAATGGAAGGTATCGGGAGGGGGGGTCGGGGCTAAAAGAAGGCACGAAGTACTCGTGGGCACCCTCGACGTGGACGTGTTTGTGCGCAAGTCACTGTGGATGCACATGATAGAAAAGAAACGAAAATACCCATGTTTATACCAGTGTTGGCTGACAATAAAGAGAGTACTGTTAAACGCTGGGGATGTTAACACTCGGTAAAGTAAAATAGTGCCTGTCAGATAAGATGGTCCAAATATGTGTATATAGATCTTTTTTGCATGGTTGATAACATCTTTCCAATGATTACTAAGTTTGTACCCATCATCACGGTTGAAATTATGTCTGTGTTTGTATATCTGAATGGCTTCGTGTACAAACCTTTGATGGTAGCCAGAGGGTTTGCAGAGCACCTTAGTCTCGGAAAAAACAATATCATGAGAGCCCACCGCGTTGTAGCAATGATCGGTAACGGCGGAAGACTCAATTTTGCCGTGTTTCAAATCTGACTTGTGCTCGCGGACACGATCAGAGACATTAACACAGCAACCACCTAGTCGGAGAATCTAGGAGTGGTTTACAATTACTGCAGTGGCTTGTCACATCTAAGTGCTGCTCCTGCAACTTGAATTACAACTTCGAATGGCCCTGAAATGTGGAGGCATTAGCTGCCGCTCACCCACAGTAACGTCTGTGGCAGCACCAGACTGTAAGAGGCTGATCCCTCCGGATTATTGGCTTCACAAAACGTAACATCCTGTCACAAACACTGGGCAACAAATAAACCACCGCAATGGCTAATTCCCACAGGGTAGAGTCATGCACTTGAAGTTTTGCCTGCCCATCTGCTTTGCCTAAGCCCTGCTCTTGGTGTGTGAACTGTGCATGAGCGCGTCGTCTCCGTTGCGGGTCTCGCGCTCACGCGTCCACCCTGAGCGACCTGTCCGTTGGTTTGTGAAATCCGGGGGCTGACAGGTGTAAAATTAACAATGTTACGTTAATTTGAAGTTTATATTTCATGAGACAGAGCTTGTATTCTGTAGCTGTGAGGGTGGGGGGGAAATAGAGAGAAGTGTGAATTACTACTGCGTTAGGTTTTCACGGTGATGCTGTATAGCCGGCTCTGCGATGTGTTTTTAGGTTGTTCTGTCTTGTTGTTTGACAATCTCTTAAAAATTGCCAGATTCATTTCCTGAATAAGCTCTCATCACGTAGAGTGAAATGTAAAATAGAATAGCTGAACTACTTTGAGTGCTTTCAGGGGCATCGGATGAAATTAATTTCCGTCTTGGATAGCTGCGTATGTATGAATGATATTTTTTTTCCCAGAAAAAACTCACCAGGCAGCGTGGAATTAATGCAGTCCCAGAATCCAATCTGAAAGAGAACAAAGTACATCAAATCCGTCAATATCAAACCTGTGGTTCTCGGAAAAAAACACTTCACCTTGTTTACAGTACACTTTATTATCATGAAAAATATGCATACAAATGTAGATGCTTAATTTATGCATAGGGAATTTAAGTCTGGCTTAATTGTACAACTCAAACGAGGGTAAATTATAGTCACTTAAAACCAAGCTTTGATATGTTTTAGGCCAATCGACCCATTGCCAATGTAAGATAAACACAAACTGATTGTGTGTTACAATATATCGGGCATACATATCCTGCACCGACACAGGGCTCGGGATTATTTGCCATTGCCAACAGACAACGAATGTAGCCACATTCACAATCCACCATTCTGCTGCGGTGATGTACTTCAAGCAATAAAATATCCAGTCGACACTTATCCGCTGAACTCACTCCCTGGATTAAACCTCCGATGTTTAATCTGCATCTCCCAAAGCTCTTGACTGGATATCAAAACTTCACGTCATATTGTACAACATTGCTTTTCCTGAGGTTGGTGGGGTGACTCAGACGTCAGAATGCTGAGCTGGCAACGCTGAGACTCTGGGTTTAAATCCAAGCAATCGCCTGTGATTAAACCAGTTTCTCATGTGAAATGAGTTGCAGCCTGGTCATCAATGGCTCCACCAAAAAAAGCATCATTCCAAATTTGGTTCTGTGTTTAATTTGGCTAAATTATAGATCTAGAGATGTATAATATTTGTTTGAATGTTACATGACAAATATTAGAGAGCAGGTGCTCTAAGGTGTCAACCAGAGGTCACTTGAAGGGATCTCAGAGGTAGCTCTGTGATATTCATTTCCTTTGTAAACCTCTAACTTGAAGGGTTGCACTGGTTGGCAAGAGACCCAAATGAGTACTTCATCTAATGACATGACGGCGATAGCGCAATCAGGATCAAATGTGGCATATTTTCAGCGATAAATACCCACATTCCTCCAAACTATTGCACAGAGCTCCCTGTCCTTGGTCACAGAGTCTTCAGGAAAGTCGAAGGCTTGTGGTGCCAACTTAATTTACTGAGGTTCAAAAAGGCGGTGGATTCTGAGCTTGGGAAAGTCATCAAAAGAAAGGTCAAGAGATCACAATGTTCCTCCCGGCCAGTGGGACCCCTTTGATATTGTAAATGCTGTAATGTGTGATACATAGTGCATACTGGCAAAGCCACCAGCCTCTCTTCGTTCAAATGTTCGCGAGTTTTGTTTGGAAATGTATGATTCTGCAACGGACTTTTTGTGCGGTAGTGGCTCCTGCATGGGAGGAACAAAGGATCGGTGGAGCCGTGCCTCCGTGAGACTCCACAAACAAAATATAAGCCGTGTTTACACTAGAAAGCTTATTCTGTACAAATTCCCACTTGTTCAAAACACTATGAAAGTGGAGCTAGATTAAACGGACATAGACTCAGATAATAACTTGAGTTCAGGACAAGTAGAGATGAACATTAAGGAAGTTCAACTGGGTGTGACCAGAGCTTGCAACACTGACAAAGTGTACGTATGTGTATTGAACTTGTTTCGGACTGTACGTAGCCGACCGTGATAATCGGAGGTGCAGGACAGGTGTGGAACAAGCAGTGAAGCATGGGCGCATGCATGCATGCTTGGAAATACACTGAGACAGAAAGACATGGGCATGGATCAAGAAACAAACATTTGTGGCAGTATATTTACTGTTAAGAAACGTAAGTGGGCTTGGGCAGGACACATAACACGAAGGGATGATGACCAATGGGTGGCAACCAAGAGGAGCGAACAAGCCAGAGAGAAGATTCCCACCACAGAGGTGGCATGAAGAGATTAGCTCATGTGCAGGGGTGAGATGGATTGTCACATCGCAAGACCACACGATATGGCCTTCATCCAGCAGTGGATTGTCTAATGGCTGAGGATGATGGTGATAAATATAACGTGACGAATGCCTACTAAACATATCCAATACCCACATTTGGTAGATTCACATGGGAGCCGGGGAAGCGATTTATGATTTGTGACCTTTCACAACCAGTCGCGATAACTTTAGTGTAACAGATTCTTAAAACGTATAATCATTTTATATCGCAGCACAGAGAATACTTCCTTTAAAAAAATGTTGTCCAAACTTTCACCCAAGGCTCTATCGTCGACAAATGTGGTAATGAACCATAGTTTGTGCAGCAGGTGTAGTGGTACTAAAAACAATAACTAAAAAAAGTTCAAATGTATTAATTCAACACGAAGAATTTATATATTGCTTTATGTTAAATCATGTAATGGTCATCTGTAAAGTGCAGCTCATTCGTTTTTGTTAATCATATTTGCTGAGCACACACCTACATATCTATAATACAAAGCAACCAGCATTTCAAACCACTAATTATAACACGTGTGTCCCCAATGGCGTGCAAGCCTTTGGATTATTTGACCATACTTGGGCAGCATAAACGTGAGCTTAAAAACTACAGCACTGGATTAGAGGCCGACCGAAACTGATTTTCTGGTTTCGGCCAAAGCCGAAACCAGAGCCGAAACCAGACCGAAAGTAAAAAAAATACTTTCGGCCGAAACCGAAGCCGAAACCGAAAGTTTAACTACACTTTCGGCCGAGACCGAAACAGAAAGGTATATAACCGAAGTTACCGAATACAAGATTTATGAAATATGTCATGATGCAATGCTACTTTAATTAAAAAGATATCTAGAACGAATCATTCAGAGCCTGCAGTAAGAGTTGCTAAATATAAAATCTTTAGGTGTTACTAACTTAGTAATTGTATCCAAACAAACGAATGTTGTAGTTAAGAAACAACAGTTTTTCCGCATTCAGCCAGAAAGGCTGCCATCTGTTGACCGGTCGTATATACATTAGCGGACCATGGTTGCGGCTGTAACCTCGCTCCCAAGCTGCTGCTGCTGCTGACGTGTGTGTGTTTGCAGCCTATCGCATAGGATTGCCTAGCGCCGACTGACCGGCCGATAGGCAGAGTGATAGACGTAGCACTAGCGTTATATTCTAAAAAATAGATCTTCGGTTGATGAATGACGACCAAAAGTCAATATCAGTTTCGGCTGAAACCGAAACCAGACCTAAAGTAAAAAATTGACTTTCGGCCGAAACCGAAAGTATGCCGAAAGAGCCCATTTGCCAAGTTTCGGCACCGAAACCTAAACCGAATTTCAGTCGGCCTCTACACTGGATGTTGCCTCTCAATACACATATCTCCGCAGCAGCCGACAACAACCTGGGGTGTATGGTGGTCGCCCATTCAAGCACTATCCAGGCTCAACACTGCTTAGCTTACTAGATCTGACGATAACCAGGAGCATTCTGGGTGACTTGGTCATCGGAAATTGTAGCATCGTGACGAATAAATATTATTTCGGAAGATAGGAAGGTCATAAGAGCGTGCATCAAGCAACAATGGGAATGATTCCAAAGTCGAGCAACACAAGGGAAGGAGAAAAATAAATGTATCCTGCAATACGAATTTAATCAACCTGAACAAAGCGCAGCAACTAATATCTTATCTCTAAATGTCATTTTTTGTCTGTCCATCTGTCTGCGCACACGCGCTTGCGAGGGATTTCGCTCTCAAACGGTGCGGTTCATGTCAAAAAAATGTTGCCAGGCAGTATGCCGTAAGCCCCGCGGTGGGCAAGCGATATGCCGTTTTCCCGTCACTCACAATAAAAATAGTTAAAACTACGTTTTTTGGCGATTCCCTTTATTTATTTATTTTTCCCGCCTGCCGCGGGACAAAGCACGCAATTGCGCATGCGGGAAACACTGTCAGGAGTTGCCCCGACCAACGCACACACGATCGCTAAAACATATACACACAATGCTGAGGTTCCTTCTTCACAGTCTTATGTCCTCTCCCCCCCACCCCAATGTGTGCAGTTACTGATATAAAGTCCGTAGATATTAATATTATAGCGCTTACTTAGCATTATTGCAGCGCGGGTGGGGAAAGCGGCCCAGCCCCCAGCCTGGCAATGTGTCACCTCCTCTGGCTGGGCAATCTAGGTGAGGCCGCGGGCTCTGCACGGGACTAGGCCTCACCACGGCAATGTAAAGTACAATTTTATTTAATCTTTCACTTAGAACTCAGGTTCATTGTCTACTATTATGAAACTAGTAAGTTGCCAATTATTACAATAGTAATGTTTGTGTACAGAAAACGAATATGTCACTATGAAGTTGCTAAATATTTCCTTTTTTAGGTGTGTTTTTATGACGCTGCGATGGTGTATTGCCAGTCTGTGCTGTGGCCTGCTGCCTGCTGATAATTAACGTCAGTGCACTGGCACTCTATTATCTACACTGCTAATTTTGCTTTTGCCCATTATGAGTGTATGCCAGTCTATAATCTGTTGCCTGCTTCTTTACCTCACTCAGTGTACTGCCAGCCTTTCATTCAAGTTCATTTATTAGGTATAGCCCTGTGAGCCATTCGGCTCTTGAATCGGGTGCAACCGCAACAAACAAAAAAACAAAAACATGAACAAGAAAACATCTCATGTCGACTGTATCCTGCTTTTTCAGCTGATGACCATATTGCCAGCTTTTTATGTGGACTATAGCAATGCTTATGTCATTGAGTCGGCGTACTGGCAGTCTATAATCTAGACTGTAGCCTGCTTCTCAACTTACCTGTGCGTATTGCTGCTCTTTAATGTACACTTATTTCAGCTTATTTCTTCAATGCATATCTATTGTTTCGATTGCTCACGTCACGCTATTTACTGATACATAGTACTGCGATGCTGATTAATATGTTATACTGCTAAATACGTTGGACTTTCTTAGCTACAGCCCATTGTATTTCGTCTATCGTTTTGTTACATTCGTGGGAACATCACCCATTTAAATTTTGCTTTACTGCACCATTACTGTCCACCAAAGCGGGGAGCACGCAGGGAGGTTCAATGCCCCAAATATTGTTGACCTTGCTTTCTTACAATGGGTGAGGAACATTGTGA